ATACGTGTGAAATTGACCAGATATTTGAGTAAAAATCAATATAGGATAATGTACATTCAGAAATAATAATACGAGTACTATTGATCAATTACAATCAGATGGGAAATAAGATAAGTGTTTTTGTAATCCAAATAAGTAACTTGTCAGCATGTTGTGATGTGGCTGAATTGAAATAGAATCTTTAGATCACTTATTATCCTCTTCTGATTTGACTGGCGGTAATAATATCTTCCATATTTCTGGTATTTGCATTGATTCATTTCTGTTGCATGTGTTGTGTTGGGTGTAGACTCAATGAACGAGGCATGCAGTAATCAATCTCTCTCTCCACCTACATAGATTACTTCTTATAGTCTTAACCCTCTCCCACCCTATTAAGTGGTTGTGTGTTAATGTATGTGGCTCCATTGCTGAGCTTTTATTCTAAATTACTTATCTTTTCGGGGTTAACCATTCTTACCTTAGCCAAATTCTTATGTTCCGACAATGTGACTACCGCCGACCTACTAGTTTGACCTATATAGTTGACCTCACAGTCACTGCAGGGTATTTTGTAAATTATATTATTTTGTTTAATTGGGTCCACCGGGTCTTTTAGCCTGCAGATGTTTATTCGAATAAGTTACTTGATAATTACTGAATGAGGGAGGCCATAATATGCAATCGTTTTATATTATAAGAAATTAGAAATCTTCTTAAAAGTGTTATATATATATATATACAGTAGATTGGTAATGTTATTGTTCCCTTGGGTTCCAAGTGGAACATATGGCTTCAACGGAACATCCATAATTTTTCCTATTCTCTACGGTCCTCTTTAGCTGAGGTTCCATGGCTACTCATAGTCTTTCGTTTTCTTCGCCTCATGTGATCTCCTCCATGCTACCGTTGTCTCCCATTTCGAGCTTTTCTCAAGAGTGTGTGATGTCATTAGATGGTCTCCTCAGCATGTAAACATTCCATCTCCTTTTTCTTCCACATATTTGGTGAGCACTAGGTTATTCAATTGGTTCGTCCCTGGAGTTTCTTGTTGCTGATTCTTTCTGACTGGCCATTTGATCTTCAGTATGGAGACGGTGAAGTGGGTAGCTGTTGTTAAACGTCTGCAGTAGCCTTTATGAAATGCATTTGATGGTGTGGGTACTAAGCTTCGAATTCTCATAGAGGAAGTGACTGGCTGAACATTGGTGCAGAAAATCCAAATATTGTTATTTATAGTGATGATGACTGAGTTTGGGAGATTTCCAAACTGATTTTATCAGAGTGGTGAATGTCTGTCTTGACTTTCCGATTCTGATCTGGACATCCTCATCCATTGGTCAAATTTATCTCATCTTCAAAAATTACGTTTTGATTCATAACGCATGGTACTTGGAGTCAAATAAATGTTTAATTTCACACATAGCAGTTCTACGTTACACATTTGAACAGAGAAAGAATAAGCATTGGTGCAGAGGAGCATGGATGTATTGTATTTCGTAGACTAGTAGGTTGTACGCAGGTGAGCTGAATCCGGGGAATTCAATGGATGCGCATTATTTTGAGTCAATATTTATTCATTCTCTCTGTTCAAACGCTGGATTTTTTTAAGGATAGAAATATATTTTTGATAAAATCACACAGTGTTGTATTTAAGTGAAGCAAGAAAGTTGTGTGAGTGAGTGCCTTGATACGATTATGAGTGGCAATAATTTGTGCTCGATTATTATTATTGTTCCCTTGGGTTCCTAATGGAACATAGGGCTTCAACTGCACGCCTCCAATTGCTTCTGTCTTGTGCTGTACTTTTCACTTGCATCCATGTTAATCGATACTGTTTCAGTTCTTCATCACACGATCTCCTCCATGTCACCCTTGGACGTCCCACTCGCCACTTCCCCTTCGGGTTCCACTCGAGGGCCTGACGCGCGATGTCAACGAGCGGCCTCCTCAGCGAGTGTCCAATCCATCTCCACTTCTTTCTCCTGCATATTTGTTGGGCGATTGGTTCCTGTCTTGTTTGTTCCCATAGCTTCTTGTTTGTGATTCTTTCCGGCCATCTGATCTTCAGTGTAGAGCCAGTGAAAACAGTTGTTGATGAAGGTCTGCAACCTGTTGAAAATATTCTTGGTGACCCACCAAGTTTCTGATCCGTAAAGCAAAACTGACTTGACGTTTGTATTGAAAATCCGAATTTTGTTGTTGATGGTGAGTGACGAAGATTTCCAGATTGGTTTCAGGTTGATGAATGTGTTTCTCGCCTTCCCGATTCTCGATTTGACATCCTCGTCCGTTCCTTCTGTAGTTGAGACAATGCTCCCTAGATAAGTGAATGAAGCAACCTCTTTCAAATCCCTCCCGTTGATGGTGATTGGCGCTTGATTTTCCTGCTGCTGTTGTTGTTGTTGTTGGTTGGTAATTTTCATAACCTCCGTCTTGTCTATGTTCACCTGGAGTCCTGTCTTCTCTGGCTGCTTCTTCGACCAGTTTGTCGGTCGGTTTTCGCTAGTAAGTCTTCGATTTTGTGTGACATCAAATATAAATCATCCGCAAAATCCAGGTCTTCTAGGTTCTTCACATCGGTCCAGGATATCCCTGTCTTCTCGTTTCCCACTGTCTGACGCATAATCCAGTCCACCACAATTAGGAATATCATTGGTGATACATCATCAGTAAATACTACAGTATACTCTACCAGAGTGCCCAAGATGAATTTTGTTATTGCAGATCGGTTCATACTTAATATTCACAATTAAATTTATCTGTGCAGTGTGTGTGTGTGTGTGGAATTTATTGAATTCAAAGTAATTTTCAAAATGGAATACACCATATGAAATCGTAGATTAGTAAGTCGACTTGTTCTTATTCCATAAGTGTACAGTTACGCCGACCTCTCATACAATGTGAAGCTACAAATTAACACCATCTTAGAAGGCAAGTATTTAATGTTCCACATGCTCAAAAGCAATTCAACAACTAACAGTTTTATCTAACAACGAAAAACGAATTATTATATGCTTACTGCAGAATTTGATTGGGCCATACTCACTCTCCTATTGGTGCATGGAATCGTAATGTTAGTGATGTGCGAGCCAGACCTCTAAGCTGCTGACTATTTAGTTACTCCTCATTTGCAGTAATTTTTCTAGTTTATATCCCTTCATATATTAAGACATTTTGCAAACCAAGAAGAAACAAACACTGTGGGATTCATTGAATTCAATTTCATTCCATCTGTATACTCTAAATCATCCACAAAACACATTAATTTTCAAGAATTGATTTTTTCGGGATTTGACTGCTTTGAAGTTTGATCACAGATTGATGTCAGTGTTAGTGAACCATTGAAAATCCCCAAGGGTAACTGAATGGTTGCTTTGTTCTAGTTTGGAACTCTTCTCCAGTATGCAATAAAAAGCTTCAAAATAATAATCACTATGGTAGCACAACGTTTTGTATATTAACCTGATAGTTGTAGTAGTTGTAATAAAAGTTCATGTTAGATGGCTGGCTTACCAACTTCTAGAAAAGCCTGATGAGATCTTTCAAAATGATATGGTATTCGTAATACCTTACACAGTGATTTATTGATTTCCAAGTGTTGGTTTGTAGGGATTTGATTGTTTACAGGATTTCATCATGAGCTGACAATGGTTAGAGAACCATTGGAAAACCTAGGAGTCTTGGATAGCCGTTTCGTCCTGGTTTGGGACTCTTCATCAGTACGCACCCACCAGGGTTCGAACCCAGGACCTTCTGGTTACAGGGCGAGCTCGTAGACCATTAAACCACTGGGTTTTAGTGAGAAGTCATGACCAGTAGGGTGCAGCAGGTCGGGTGTGAGGACAAATACTCGCCGAAGACATTGGCTAGTGATCGCGCTATGTCGTGAATTGGCAGAAGTTAGAATTCATGCACTGGCCATTGGATCGGGTTCCAGTGGCTTAATGGTCTACGAGCTCGCCCTGTAACCAGAAGGTCCTGGGTTCGAACCCCGGTGGGTGCACACTCTTGAAGAGTCCCAAACTAGGACGAAACAGCTGTCCAGTACTCCCAGGTGGTTTTCCAACGGTTCTCTAACCAATATCAGTTCATGATGAAATCCTGTAACTATTGATTTGCTTGCTCTACAGATTACTTCCTAATAATCTAGAGTTTGAGAAAGACGAACGAACGATGTTGGCTGATCAATCAGAAATTCTCCTGAACTTCTCAATCGGGGATGTTCCTCTTGTAGGAAAATCGAAGCTCACAGAGTTTTATTACTGAAAAAACAAATAGAATATTTGTAGCCTTAAAAAGTTGCCAGATTGTAGAACTAATATGATGATGTGGTGAGTCGTCTGAGACACCTTTGTACCACCAATTACCCAAAAACAAAATCTGATTTGAGTATTTTGGGCAGAAAATTCTTTTTTGAGGGAACTATATCCACTTTTCAGTTATTTTTAAGAGTTGATCATGGATTGATATCAGTTAGAGAACCATTGAAAACCAGGGAGTACTGGACAGCTGTTTCATCTCACTTGTTTGGGAATCATTGGCAGTACGCACCCACTGCCAGGGTTTGAACCCAGGACCTTCCGGTTACAAGCAAGCAAGGTCATATACCATTCATTCACTGGGACCCGATTCAATGACCATTTCATGAATTCTAACTCCCACCAATTCGTGATTTAGCCCGACCCCAACCAATGTCATTGGTGGGACATCCGTCCTCACACTTGACATCTGGATGGACCTCACTGGTCACGACTTCTCACCAGAACTCCAGGAAACTTTGTCCTATAGCAAGTCACTAGCGAGCATCAGATTAATTTTCTATAGTTGGTTTGTAAGGATTAGATCATGGATTTTTACCTAAATTTATTTACAAATAAACCTGACTTAAATATTAAGCAACATGCCTTTTATTTCCAAGTTCAACCCTTTTTCTAACCTAATACACCTCTGTGGTATTTCTGTTTATTCATTGACAGCTTCAAGCAATTCTTTTCCTACTCTTCTCCGTCAACTTAGTGATGAGTAAAAGGATTCTAGTGAGAGGTGATTGTAAAACTCAATGTTTAATGCGTAGTCTCGCATGCGACAGTCGATGCAAAAGGGCGGTTGGTGCTAAAGAAATTTGTAATACAGCATGTCGAAACTTACTGTCTCTATGCCTTCACCAACCGTGTGCAAGCTTTGCAGAAAATTACTATCGAAGATATCATTAGTACACTACTATTTATTAGTCAGTAATATTTCTTTATTTTTTTTTACATTCCAGAAGAAGTGTACATTTATTTTTTTTATAACTATATTTTTAACCATACTTGTAAATTTTAAAGGTGTTTAGTGTGTTACTTATGAGATATAAATTTGAAAACTGTTCATGGTGTTTAGTATTGTGGTCTCGCTCAAATTTCTGATGCGTTACACTGTTTCATTTTGCTCACTGATATCAAAGAAATCAGACTGTCGCTTGGTAGGCTGAAACCTTCTGCGGTTGTTTCTGTTTAATAATACAAATTGGGAAGTGTAAACTGCAGCTAATTTTTTCACACAACCGGTTGTGATTCCGGAAGTCTTTTAGAAGGGAAAAGTGTGGGCGGTTTTTAACTGGTTTAGGCTTCATTGGTTTTGTGATGAAACGTTTGAGGTAGCTATTTCCAGGCAAAATTCTTTTCCGAGTGTTCAGTGTCAGGACTGCAAATGTTGCGGATTCTGTGGCTCAATGAACGCATCAGGCTTTGTTCTGTATATACAGGCTCTCAGTTTTGAAAGTTAGGGAGTTGTCTGTTCCATGTCGGCTTTCTATGGATGGATCTGTTTAGTGTCTCATCTTGTTCTTCACGTTTTGTTAGTTGAACGTACAGAAAAGATACTTTTGAGTCGGCGTCCTTCTCTAATGTGAACTGGATTTCAGAGTGGTAGCTGGCGAAAAAATTCAGGATGTCTCCCGAACTCTCTTTATTATTGGAGATTATGAGAGTATAAGCCATGTATCTTTTGTGAAACCCAAAACTGTCAATCGCTATCTTTAGTTATGTGTTTTGGAGTTTTGACAAGCAGCGGACCCAGTAATGAGCTTTTCAATGCGCGTATACACATTTAGGTATCTTAGGAAGTCTTCAGAAAATTTATTAGTAATTACTGTTGAAAAATTTTTATAACTTTCTACTCTGACTACTATTATGACACTAATATTCAGTCGGTTGATTACACACCGCTCAATGAAAACCCACAGAATGAAAAAGCGATATATATATGTTTAAGTATATATAAAGGTATGCATATATCACTTCACCTGTTACTGTGAAGCCAGCCAGGTACATTTGTCGTTCGACGCGTATCCTATCTAAAAGGGTTCAAGAACACTATCTCTCATGGCTACAGAAAGGTAGCAGTGACCCTATAAAGAGTGTAGTAACCCAGCACCTTGTCAACACCAGTCATTCCACCTCAACAAACACCTCTTTAAAATAATGTACAAAGCCAAGAACAGCTTACCAAAGGCAAAACACTTTCCTCGCCTCTGAATTGCTGAAGCCTTGGTTATTCATTTGGAGAAACCGGAGCTATGCATACAAAAGAAACCTATTCAACCATTTCTACTATCATAGAAATAACCATGTTGATTCCTACTAACTTCATTTTTGTATGTTTATTCTTTTGAGTCCTTAAAACTCTTGTATTTCTGCAGAACCCTTAGAAAATTCCATATTTTCCTTCGTTTCTATGCGCATCCTGATTATGCCTCATTCACTGGATAATCCATATTATTACATAACCCGAATACACTTATTCAAATCTTCTTATGCACTGACTAATACTAACAGCTATGACTGTGGCAGCTTTTAATACCCTTTTTCATGAGGTATTGTATGCAAATGCGATTGTACAGCTAAAGAAAACGAATTCGCTGGAAACAAACTCTTCGCTGAAGTACATGTTTTGTTTTCATTAATGTCTAGGTGGGGATTATTCATGAATATGCAATAAATAAATAATAAATAAATAAATAATGTATCATACCTATACTCAAACAGAAAAGACATAATTCCCAACTTAGCACTGAAGAGCAAAATGCATTAAAGAAACTGAAGAACAGAAAAGATGTAGTTATTCTACCGGCTGATAAAGGAAGAACAACAGTAATCCTGGACACAGAAGACTACATAAAGAAAACAGAGGATTTGCTCAAAGATAATAATGTATATCAACAGTTGACAAAAAACCCTATACAAACATTAGATAACAAAATCAGAACAACGTTAAATAAACTAACGAAATCAGGACAAATTACAGAACAAGATCAATGGCGAATGAAATCTAACGGACCTATTTTACCTCGATTCTATGGTAGACCGAAACTACACAAACCAAATATTCCCTTACGACCAGTCGTTTCGCTTCCAGGAACACCAACATATAATCTATCTAAAGAACTTTTCAGGAAATTAAATTACCTAACAGAATCATGCGACCACTCTATCAATTCTTCAATCCAATTTTTAGAGAAAATCAAAAACATTCAAGTAGAAGACAATGAAATAATGGTGTCCTTTGATGTCACAGCATTATATACTTCAATTAGTCCAAAACTACCAACAGAAACTATGCAACAATTACTCTATAGTGATGAAAACACAAAAATGCAATTATCAACTTGGATAGAACTCATAAAATTATGCCTTACAACATACTTCCAGTTCAATACTCAAATATATGAACAAATAAAAGGAACACCAATGGGATCGCCCATATCAGGATTAATAGCTGAAGCCGTTATGCAAAGATTAGAATTAATAGCTCTACCTATAATTAAACCGAAAATCTGGATACGTTACGTTGATGATACATTTGTAATAATTAAGAGAAGTGATTTAGAATATACTCATAAATTAATAAACAACATATTTGAAGACATCAAATTCACAAGAGAAGAAGAATTAGATAACAAAATCCCATTTTTAGATGTCTTAATCAGGAGAACCAACACAGGAGATTTAGAGACACAAGTTTATAGAAAATCAACGCACACAGATCAAATACTCAACTATACTAGCAATAATCCAGTTACTCACAAACGAAACTGTGTGCAGACATTGTTTAAAAGAGTTCAGACACATTGTAGCACTCCAGAGTTGAAAAGAATGGAAGAAAAGTACCTACAAACGGTCTTCAAAAAGAATGGTTATCCACAAAATTTCATCAAAAAGTGTTTAAAGTCGAATCAAAACACCAACAAGAAACCATCATCAAAGACCACAAGAAAATTCATTCTACCATACATGAGGAATATCTCTGAAATAACAGCCAGAATACTGAAACCGTTAGATATAGATATAGCACACAAACCAGTAAAATCGCTTAATTCGATATTATGCAAACCAAAAGATCCAACAGAAAAAGGGGATAAAATTAATACCATTTACAAAATAAATTGTATGAACTGCAACAAACATTACATCGGCCAAAGTGGGCGTCCCCTTCGAATCAGAATCCAAGAACATAAATCAGCCGTGAAAAGACATGATATGTATTCTTTAGTATCAATGCATACAGATAATTATGGTCATCAATTTGATTGGGATCATGTCAAAATCTTAAACAGAGGAAACACGAAAAGTGCCAGAGAATTCCTAGAAGCCTGGTACTCAAGCGAAAATGCGATTAACAAACACGTTAATATAGATGAAATATACCAATTAATAAAAAGTAAATCAGGTGACCAGAAAGTTTAAAATCCAAGTCAATAGAAAGTGGTCAATACATATGTAAAGATAGCAACCAGGAGACGCAATTACATCACGCATGAAGAAATTTAAATCATTTCACTTTGTGCTAAATATGGCGCTGAAGATGTTGTCCAGAAGGACGATGAAAGCTTCGCAACTAAACCAACCAGCTCAGAGAACACTTTTAATTGCAAATCATCCACCTGAGCTACAAATCTTCTCTATTATTTCAATAAATAACATTGTTTCATGCACCCTTTTTTAACGTCGATAATTAACAAAAGGCACCATTCAATGGAAAAGAGAGTCCATAGATGACCAGCTAAAAGTAAGCATTGTGGAACAGTAATATTAAACTCAGGAACAATACAAAGTTAAGATGAGAGTGTAGCAAAACACGGTGAAAAAGGTTACACCGACAATTATTATACAACAGGCCCAAAAAGGGATTAAATAGACTGAATAAGACTCTTCTATAAAGAGGAAAATCAAAAGGTATGAAGATGCAGACAAAATCTTTTGAATAACTTGACCTGAATCAAACCAAAAGAAAGAACAGTACACTCAAAAATTGCTTCTAGTTAATTTGTATTCTCCTTTGGATCGCTAGTAGCTGTTCATGAACATGTCTAGACAATGTTCTGCTAGTTTGGCCAGTGTCTTTAACTTCACAGGTCCAAGCGAACTGATACACTGACTGGTTTCATTAACCAAAGTCTTATCGTTAAAGTCGATGCAAGGAACACCAGTCAAGGATAAATAAACGGAAAGCCATTTGCCTCAGAACAACTAATAGTGAATTCGTCAGGTGTGCAACAGTAAACCCCATTGATGCTCACGAAATGTGTACAGCACTGAAGAATAAACAGCCGCAATGTAAGCAAGAAAAAGCATACAGATTCAGGGTTTATACAAGGAGTATTAGGATCTAAAGGGTTAAATCGTGATCATAAGTGATCCTGACACTCTGGGATTTCTTCAGTGTTACTTCGTTTTTTAATATTAATAAATGTATTCCATAAAACCAATGAAGAATGATCAAATATACCGTAGTTTAACATCTGCCAGGCTCCTCACTAGATGAATATGGATACATGCAATTCATTTATTTTCGCAAAGGGTTGAGACACAAACTCTATCAGTTCCTATGGCTTATTGCTTATCTGAGTCATTACAAAAGTTCTTATGTTATACAGGTTTAAAAATGCTACGTGCTTCTTTTCTTGTGAAACACGTCCATGGTATTACAGTATGTAATTTACTATCCTACCACACACAACGTGATGCTTCCTTTATTACCACTTATGGTATCAAGAAGATTGCATGAGGAGGTGGTCTGAATAATTTCGGTAACCGAAGGAACCTACAGTGAAATTTGACCAGCTGAACTGTCTACATTGCAGGTTGCTAACTAATTTGCGAGTTGTTAATTTGATTTACGGTGTTACTACTAGTCCATTCAAGTAGTGTACCTAGCCAGAAATGGGGTAGTTTGAACTAATTAGCCTGGCTGAACTGAGTCACACTTCGGGTATACCGCTGGTGAGCTCTCCCCCTTCCTAGACGAGCAAAACGGCAGTTTCGTG